ATGGGTGTCAGGTATTGTGTGTCAGTGATGGCAAAGCTGACTAATACCAAGCTGTTTGGAAAATTGTGTGACTTTCTGTCATGACATGTTGCTTCTTGAAACGTGTAACTTACTTAATATGACCATAATCATAACATAGAGACAACACTTCACAAGTTAAATGGCGGCTCGTATCCAAAATAATTAACTGTGTATACTACTGTGAATTATAAGTACAAAGATCAGTGCTAGAGGCAGGCCCCATTGACAGTAATGAAAAGTTAATGGTTACTGGGGTGTCAGAAAAGCTATGAAAACCAAATATGAAATCAGGAACACTTGTTTTGCTCTTAAGTAGTAAGGGATCATCCACACCTCCTTAACCATTAAAGCTATTGCCGTAAAGGACCAGTGACCCCAAGCCATTAAAAAAAGGGAGAAATTGGGGCCAGTATTCTTGAGTTAAGAAAATTGTCCAATATAGTTTTAAAATATTAACTTTCATAAATATCTTCTAAAAAATGTTAATGCATAAAGGAATAAACATTGAATAAAAATTTAATAAAGCAAACATCTAATTCCTTGATGATGACAAGTACTGTAGATAAGTTTCTACTATACATCTTCTAGAGCAAGCAAACCAACTTTGAAATTATGCTGTCATTTCCCTAAAAAAGTCTATTGTGACAATACCTTAAATTCCTTTGGAATAATAGCATTTGTCTTTTTTTGTGTGTGTGCTACAAAAAAATAAAAATTTTATTTTTCACCTATTCTGTATTACAGATTTCTATAGTTTTGCCTGACCCTTCTGCAAGTATTAATTTCAATAGTGTTTGGGCCCTACCATAAATGGCAGATTATAACGAAAGTAATTAATACTTAGCTCACTATAAGGTGTTGGCTGCTATGAGCCCCTTACTATGAGAAGATGGGATAAAATATACAAAATAGATATTTCATGTAGTTCTCAAAGAAATTTTGCCTGAGTTCCAAGAATTGCATACATTATTTTCTCATCAAATTAAATCACCACAAAGCTACCCAAGTATATCAGTTATTTGCCCGGTGCAGAAAAGCTTTCTGACTTTGAGGAAAGATTTTTTTAATGACCATAGAAAGAATATGCCTCTTTTTTGTTTTCTGACTTTTACAAGAGACATGTCCATTATATTGTTTCATGCTTTCTTTTTTAGTACTGGGAATCGAACTGAGGGTCTTGCACTTGCCAGGCAGGAGCTGTGCCACTGAGCTACATTCCTGGCCCATTGTTTCATATTTGTATAAAACCTAATTTCAGAAATTTTCTCTCTTGGAAACTTAATATAATTACTTCTAGTAGAGAGTATGGGTTATAAGGGTTATGCATTTTACTTTTTTGGTACCAGGGATCGAACTCGAGCCCTTGTGCTTGCGAGGCAGGTGGCGGAACCACTGAGCCAAACCCCTGGCCCGGTTATGCATTTTATTATGCAAACCATGAGGGCTAATAATTCTAATGATAGAATTATTAGTGCTCATGTTTTATATATATGGTTGTTCTTTTCAAAGTGTGATTTTCTATTCTTACAGTCTTAATTCCTTTTACTCAAGTTGTCTGTTTTACATCTTATTTTGGAAGAATATAGAATTGAAACGTAAAAATGATAAGGCAGTTTGAGAGTGTCTGTACAAGTACTCATTTGACTGTTGTCAAGTGACTGCTACATTCATGGTTGTGGTGGGCTGTGCCTCTGAGTTCATTGTATGGTCACTCCTTCCAGGTTTTGAAATGTAAAAAGGCTCCAGGGTGGTTCTTGAAGGGCTCTAATAGTGATCTCTCCCACCCCTCCACCATCTCCAAATAGTATCATCATGGTGAAAACATTTTTCTCAATTACTAGTTGGTTAGAAAGTCTGTGTGTGTCATTGCTGAGTATCATTTTAGGTGTTTCAAAGACTGTTATCTGTAATCATAGTATCAGTTCAGTCTGTGTAGCACTTTTCCCCCATAATAGCTGCAAGACCTTCAGGTAAGTTAGTGGACACCAGCACTCATTCCTGCTGCAGTGGACAGTTGGAAGGCAAAACTGAAGCTACAGAGTTGTCAGGGAGGAGGTAGACCTTGTATAGGATGGATTTGGTTTCTCATTGACTGAAACTTGAAACTAAATGGGAATCCTGAAGAAATACAAATTCAACTTTAAATCTAGGAGTGTGTAAATTCATACCAAAGAGTCAAGTTTACATTGTTTAGTTTCATCCTAATTATTAATTACTTAATTACTTGTATAGATTGATGTCATATGACATAAGCTTTTAGTTTAGCCTCTTTGTTATTTTTTTTTTTTCTTTTTGGTACAGGGGATCAAACTCAGGACCTTGCACTTGCAAGGCAGGCAGCGGCACCACTGAGCTAAATCCCTGGCCCATCCTCTTTGTTTTTGATATGCCAATTAGTTTTAGTTATGGGAACCATAATTATAGAAATATTTTGGCCTTATCTCTAGGTAAATGTTACCATTTAATGTTCTTTTTCAGTAAGAATATAGCCAGGGATTTAGCTCAGTGGCACCGTGCCTGCCTCACAAGCGCAAGGTTCTGAGTTCGATCCCCGGTACCAAAAAAAAAAAGAATATATCCCGTAGAGAGCTATTTCCTTTTTAATATTTAGTGTATTATGTTTTCTAAGATATATTTGAAGCTCATCAGATAAAATTTTAGTAAATCATGGTAATTTAAAATAATCCCAAAGTATATTTGTACCAGGCTTAGTGATTTTTGCTAACCTAATGCAGCTAACCTTATCTGTTTACTTATTTATTTATTTTTTGGTTCGATCCCCGAATCGAACTTGGGACCTTGTGCTTGCAAGGCAGGCGGTGGAAGCACTGAGCTAATTCCCCGGCCCCATGCAGCTAACCTTGTCAAACTAGATGATTCCAAACTTACAATATTTATCTTCCTGCTATTATAGGTATTTCAGCTCTGTCTTCCAAAACATTGTTTAATTCTGCCTCATTTTAAAATAAATCTTTGCAAGTTTCTTGATCCCCAAACTTTGGGGAGCCAGCTTTCAAAAAGCTGAGTGTCATTTGGCCATTCATTTATTTGTTCCCGTATCAGTTAGTGTTCACCAGAAGCACAGATTCAATATAAAATAGGTATGTATCATGTCATACATATGATACATATAAGGATTTATGAATTGGGCTTACTATGGCCACCTGAAGAGTCAGGTGTGAAAGAATGGAGATCTAAAAGATGCAATCAAAAGTAGAAGGCATGGAACTTACTGCAGAGTCCCGTGTGAGTCTGTAGTAGGAAGCTGAAGGGTCTCTGTTGAAAGGCTAAAGAGTCTGTATTGGAAGCCTGGAGATGGATGTCCAAAGGCAATGGTGAAGACTGGAGCGCCTCTTAAAAAACAGAAGCAAGACTTCCATGTTTCCCTTTTCATTCCATCTAGGCTACAAGCCTTGTGCCACCTACACCCAGGTTAGGTCTTCCCTCTTCAGTAAGTCCATCATGCAGACATACCCAGAACTATGCTAAACCAATCAACTGGGCATTTCTTATCAAGTTGACACCACAGTTAGCTATCACAATTCCCTTATAAATGTGTATTAAACACCTGCTTTGTGCAGCTGCAGGTGCTATTCTGCTGGTTAGGAAATAAATGGTGCCTTTAAGGAGCGTGCATTTTTTCAGGGAAAGAAACCTACACATAATGTGACTGTGATACAATGTGTTGTAAGTGCCGTCAAGAATCATGGACCATTCACAGTGTGAACACAAAGATAGAAGCAGTCAGCAAACTGTGTACTTTGCTTCTAGAGTCTCCCTTCTTGCTTCTGTGATCCTTTTTATTCTTCCTGTCAGTTGCCTGAAATAGGCACGGAGGGAGAGTGCTAACAGAAAAAAAATCAGTTTTTATGGAGCTGTAGAACTAGGACCAAGGGGTGCCCAGGACAGAGTTGCATTTGAGTTTAAGCTCCTTCACCTTCCCTCGGTATCCCTAGAGATGCTCTAACTGAGTAGGAGCCCAGGTTCTCTGAGCTCCCAACTGAGACTTACTATAGGAAGAGGGCCATTCTTCCCTTGAAGTCCACTAGAGCAGTGATGGTTTTTCTCATTATGTTCATGCCTGTGTTAAAAGCTCAGTGAGGCATGTTTTCTACTTTTCCAAGAACTTAAAGAATCAACTTGTGTATTAGGTATATTGGGCACATTACACAATACAGATTTCTAGTTGGCAGAGCCATAGGGCTTTTTTAAACTAGGTACCAACGTTTTAGTACATACTGTGAGAGTATGGTGCTGAGGTGAATGAAGCGAAGAAAGAAAATATTAAGGTAACCAAGGAAAGGATGTGTTGTTTTTCTCAGAAGATTGAAGAAAAAGGAAAGAAAGCAAATAACTGGAAGCTAGAAATAGACTGGGAGATACTATTGTTGAAAACATGTAGGATAATTCATCAGGTTGATAGTGCTTGTGGATCAAGAAATACTAGCATTAGGGATGGTCTGTTCAGGGGGGTGGCTCAGAAAGCCAGGTGGGGCCTGGTATTGACAAGGGATGGTCTGCTTAGTTTGAATCTATCCATAAAGTTAAAGGTATTAGTAATGTGTAGTGTCATTTGTATATATTTAGGCTATGAAGACTTAAGTTCATTTTTCATATGACTTATTCCTAATTCTTAATATTTCATTAAAATGGCCTTGGTCTCTAATTTAAGAACTTATAGATAGGAGTTGAATTTATGCTGAACTCTACAAAAGAAGAAGCCATTCTGAGAGTAAAAGTTGCACTAACATATTTCTGTGAAATCTTAACTTGTTGTACTGTTATATTCCTAATTCCTCAGATGTGTTAAGGGGAAATATAAGTATCTGTTGCCATGGACACAATATTGTTAGTTCCTCAGTGATCACTCCTACTCTCTGGCTTTTCTGACTGATTTAATGATGCATAGCTTTTAAAATTTTAGTTTTATTACTCTCTGAAGTGTATGTACTCATTTTATTGACCTTTTTGTAAACTAGATGCTTTCTGATGCAGCACCTGGAAAACTGAAAATTGTTCATGGAGATGTGTTGACGTTTATGATAGAAAAGTCTTTTCCAGCAAGTCTTAAAACACCCTGGGAGGATGGTAAGTGCCTTTGAGTACTTGTTTTGTTTTTAATTTCCTTTTGTCATTTCTGTCACAAATATTTAATTCATTATAGATTTATTGTATTTATTATAATATATTAAAAAATATCTGAACAGTTAAATAATGTGCATTGTAATTTTTTAACTTTCCCAGTTCCATCCACAATTTAAAATCCAGTTATTTTTTTCTTAATTTTCTGTCTTGCATTTTCCAATGTTTTAGATTCTATGCAACTAAACTTGTCATTTTTGTGATCTATATAAATACGGGGTAAACTATGAAGTGTTACTTTTTCCACATGGTGAAAAAAAGTGTTCTAGTAAACCAGGCCACACCCGAGACTTTTTTCCCCATTGTCTTTTGCACTCAGTGTTCAGTAGAGTTACTCTTCCTTCACGGACAGTGTTTATTGGTAACTGCAATGGGTCAGCCTTTTGGAACCCACAGATAAACAGCGTGCTTTTTGCTCATCAGAACCTCTCAGAACACATGGAAGAGGGATTTGGATGCATCACACCTAGCTTCCCCCATATATTTCTGGCCTCCCCAGGACCAGGCTCCTTTAGAATGGTCTGTATTTGTAGTCTCCACCTTTCAGCCAGCCTTTCAGTGAACCTCCAGGTTTTCAACCCTGCCCCTGTCCCAGTGATCACAGTGACCTGTTTGAAACTTATCTCACTCCAGTCTCCTGCATTCATTTGACTGTTATCCAGCTGTCTTCTGGAAGATTTCTCTGCTCTTGTCTTCCCTAACACCAGACCTTCCTTCCTGTCTTTCCTTTGACATTTCTGAACTTTCTCTATTGCTTGCTAGTGATTATTTTTTTTCCACCCACTTCTAACATGTTCTGGGGTTTTTCTTTCTGGGGTTTTTCTTTCTGGACTTCTCCTTTTTCTCATGCTACAGATTGGGTCACTCCACTCCTGGTTTTTCACTCCCCCTGTGTACTGCAGGTACTTACATCTTTTTGCTGAAGTAGTACCCTTTTAAGGGCATATGACCCCTTAATAACCCCGTAGGTACTTTCTAACTTCATCATGTCCAAAAAAAATTATCTTTTCCTTCAAACCAAGTCTTTCATGTACTTCCTAAGTCAGAAATCTGGACTTTCACTGACTGAACACTAATTAGATGACATTTTTCCTCAATAATTCAAAGCTCAATTCTGAGAAGATACTGCTTTTGAAGAATAAATGGACTAAACAATACTCAGCTATATCTTTTAATGTATTTTGATACTATTAATATCCAGTTTGATTTTACTCTGAACTAAAATTGTGTTTGGAATTTATTTATGAAATAATTCTAAGTTTTTCCCCCCTGCAAAACAGATCCTCCAAATGTACATATTATTGGAAATCTGCCTTTTAGTGTTTCAACTCCACTGATTATCAAGTGGCTTGAAAACATTTCTAATAGAAACGGACCTTTTGCTTATGGCAGAACTCAGATGACTTTGACTTTTCAAAAGGAAGTGGCTGAGGTAAGTTTTAACTTCTTCTGGCTATTTGACCACATGATCAGATTCCCAAATAATACTGTATTTTCACCCCAACTGTGTGTTCTAATACATACACAGAGAAATTAAGCAACACTCAGCTAAAACTTAGGCATATGAGGATGACAGGGCTGGAAGCTTCTAGGGAGAGTTGAGTGTGAATGATGTGTGTGAGCTAAGGAGATGCAGTAAATGTAGGGACACAAGAACCATAGACATGATCAGAGAAAGACAAAAACTGTGTCAAGCCATGTATTCATATGTGGTGTTTGGAGTCGTATCTTAAAATTGATCCTTTGTGCTCAGTAAGATGATAAAGAATATGATCATCAGCTCGGAGCTGAGAAAGGGAAGAAGGGTGAAGCTCTTATTATCCAGTATACAAACTTTGTCTTAGCCCCCACCTCAGTGATGCCTGTAGTGCCTGCCTCCCCGCAGCAGGTGTGTTCTGAGTCAGTCTCTGGGATGGAAACCTCCAGGCTGTTCACAGGCAGCTCTTAAACTGCAGAGGTTGAAGGAGGGGAACTGCAAGCTCTAAGTCTACCTCACTCTGATTGCATCCTTGTCCACTTGCTGTCACCAAGGTGATCAGTGCTGTAAATTTTGGATTTATTATTCCATTCCATAGTCGTTTATCAAATGGAATTTATATCTATATAAACACTAGTTTTGTCTTTTTTTTGAGCTTTATATAAATGAATTCATAAAAGATGCATTTTTTTATCTGGAACATCTTTTATAGGGTTTGCTCATATTACTCATAACTGTACTTTATTTACATAGAATATATATACCACCCATTGATTGACTGTCAATTTTTGTCCATTCTCCCATTGAGGACTCAGAATTAGCTGTCATCAGTGTTCTTATATTTATGTCAGCTGGGACAAATGGGCAAGATTTCTCTAGGGTGTATGTATGGAAGTGAAACTGCAAATCCTGACTCTTGCTAGACAGTGACAAATTGTTCTTGAAAGTCATTATGCCTATGTATATCCCCACCAGCAGCGCACATGAGTTCATTTTGCTCCATATTCTTGCTAGTACTTGGTATTGCTGGGCTTATATGTTTATTAATCTAGGGGTAATAGTATATTGTGTTGTATTTTATTTTGCTTCTCATGGTTTTGAATGACATTGTGAACCATTTTATGTGTTTGCTGGACTTTGGGTCACTTGGGTATATATGTACACAGCTTGCATATCTTTCTGCTGGGCTACTTGTCTTTTTCTTTTGGATTCACAGTTCTCCCATATTCTCCATACCAGTCCTCATTATTTAGACAAGTTGCAGATTTCCTCTTCTGCTCTTTGACTTAGTGTTATTTTCTTTTTATAGTGTCTTTTAAAGATTAGGCATTCTCATGAATTCATTAGATTATGATTATTGTTTTTCCCTGTCTTGTTAAAGAAATAGTTTTATGTCTTGAGATTATGAAGATATCCTTTAGTTATCTGCTAGAGGCTTTATGTTTTACCTTTCACATTTGTATCCATAATCCTTATGAGATTGATTTTTGTATATAGTTGAAGTAGAAATCACTTTTACCATTTTTAACATATAGATCCCAATTAGCTCCATTTATTAATAAGTCTGGCCTTCATTGATCTCTATCAGTACCTCTGCAAAAGCATTGCTCTGATTAGAAGAAAACGATGTAAAATCCAGAGGCCCCAGGTTAGAACATAGAGAAAAGAACCTCAGGAGGTGCATTCAGATCAAATCAGAGCCAATTAAGGTGAGTTTGATCAAATACCTATATTTCATATATTGAAAGAGTACAGAAGTCCAGGGGAGTTTAGATTGAATTAGTTATAAGTAAATAGAAAGCTAAATACTGTAGGGAGTGAAACAAATGCAGTGGTACCTTGGTTCATGAACATTTTTGTTTGTGAACAATTTGGTTCACAAACAGAAGGTTTAGGAAAGTTTTATTTTTGTTTTCGAACTCTGCATCAGGTCATGAACACAGCCACAGCCATCTTTCATGCACAAACATGAATGTGGTTATCTTTTCCAAGTTTGTGACTCAAGGTACCACTGTGTAAAAGCTGTCATTATTGAAACAGGAAGTAAAAAATATTATTTGGAGATAGATAATTATTTTGAAAAACTAAGCAAAAGACCTGTTTTTTAAAAAATTGACATAACCTTACCAAAAGTTCACGGAGAAAAATTACGAGAAATATCATAGCCCTGAAAGGAAAAATGATTATCATAAAGATCCTGATTTTTTCAAATACATAGCTTTGTAATACATCTAATATAATCCTTAAAGAATTTCTCTTGAAATATAGTGGTTATGTATTCTTGGACGTGCAAGAATATAAAAGATATGTTTTTTGAAAAAGAAGAATGAGAGACTTGCTTTGTTAACATATAGAGTCAAGCTTTAATAATCAAAACAGTATGACATGGCACAAGACAGGTTGATGGCCAGATTAGAAGGTCCAAGAGCAGACAATTTTATATACGATAATGGTCAGATAAAAAATTATCAGTGGAGGGAAGAATTATTTAATGATCTATGGATATTTGGTAAACTGTTAGAAAAAATATTTTAGTAATTTGCCTTACAGATTCCAATTACTGTGTCTTCAAAGTCATGTGGGGTCTGATACACTGTTGTATTTTCACTTAAAATATTGTATTTTCACTTAAAATATTGTATTTTTGCCTCCAAAATTTCTGTTTGGGTCTTTTTATACCTTTCCTTTCTCTCATTGTGTTCATGCTTTCCTTGGTATTTTTGTGCATACCAGTATGTTTAATATTTATGGTAGTTGTTTTGTGTGCTGCTGGCTCCCAGAATCTGGTGAACCTGTGTTTAAGTAATGAGTTACCAGTCAGTCTTTCTGGATCAGCTCTATCCTGAGACTACTAGCAGCCCCACGCTATGTCAGTCACCTCATTAGCATGAAGTCAGGTGTGATTGGGGGCGGGGGGCTCCTGAGTAACAGAATCTCTCTCATTCAGGAAATTTCATGGGATTTAAGAGCTCTGCACAAGCAACTAGGGACAAAGACCAAGTAGGTTTCTAATTATAACACATTGGTGGATTTTTTTTTTTTCAGCTGACATGATTATTTGGTATTTGTGTTCTCATGTAACACAACAGAGATACAAAATACTATTATACTCTAATTCTGCTGGGGGAAATAGCAGAAGAGCAGAGCCCTAGGAGGTGGAGTCATGCTTTCAGTGACTCAGTGTCAGTTATAGTTAATAACGATAGTGTTGCTGCAACCTCACCATAGGCAATTATTTTTCTTTAACAGAAGTTCATTTTAGTTAAATTTTAGCATGAATATTGAGAAGAATTTGCATTAAGTCTATAATTTACATTTACAAAACAGATACAAATGTGTTCCAACTTCATTTCTCTAGGTCTAGAGGATCTAAATCTAAGAATTCAGCTCATACATTAAAGGACGTACAGACAGTATTAAGTTACAGCTCATAAAATAGAGTCAGACTGTATAGCAATAAATGAGATCTTAAAAAATCTTATCTAGGGGCCGGGGATTTAGCTCAGTGGTGCTGCCGCCTGCCTCGCAAGTGCAAGGTCCTGAGTTCGATCCCCAGTACTGGAAAAAAAAAAATCTCATATCACTTTATACTTGGTGAAACTGAGGCTAAGAGTGGTTTAATATCTTTCCAAAGGTCATGGTTTAATATCTTTCCAAAGGCTGAGAAAAACTGAACTGGAGCACAGGTCATTTGCTGAAGTCATGATGTCTTAATTTCTGGATGTTGCTGGACCTGTGACTTTTCTCCACTTGGCTCTAGTGTCAACCTCTGTCTTCTGCTAGAGACCTTGTCTCTTATGGGTACATCCCCAGCAGAGAGGGGTTTCCTTTTACTGAAAAATTAACTGGTTTGGTTTCCAGGCCTTTTGTTGTTAAAATCATCTATCTCCTAATGGACATTGAGTTTCATAGCTTTACCTATAAAATATCACAGAAAGAGGAGGGCATGCCTGAATGCTTGATAGACTATTTGTTAACCCTTTTTTTTTTTTGTACCGGGAATTGAACTCAGGACCTTGGTGCTTGCCAGGTAGGCACGGTGCCACTGAGCTAAATCCCTGGCCCTATTTGTTAACTTTTAATTGAAGCCTTTTGTAATATTTCCTGGTCTGTGACTTGAATTTTTACTAAATAAGTTAGAAATAGTTATGTGTGCTGCATTAGTCTAAGTTAAGATGATTACATGTTTTCATCTCCAAAACCTGAGCATATTTGTGGCCAAGATTGAATAGTCAAGTCAGTGAGTTAGGACACCCCTTCCCTATACTGGATGCTTAGTACTCTAAGTGAAATAGACCTCAGTGTATTTTTACATCAAGTTAGAACAGTTAATTTTATGCCTTACAGGTTTGCATTTTAGTTAAAGTGAGTTTTGAGTTCTCTTGAATTCATCAGTGGAAACACATCTTTCAGATGTAAAATAAAAGTTATGCATTGGAAATTCAGGATGAAATAATTTTTAATATGTGGGCATTTCTTTTGGTTCATTTAAAAATATTGTAATTATTATGTTCATACTAGTTTTTAAAGATCTGCTTTGAATTGTGCTGGTTGAAGGTAATTCAGTTACAATGCATTTTGAATTTTTGACTTTTATTCTGGTAGTAAAATTAATGTGATGAGTCCAGTCATTATTGGTACTGCATTTGTAATAGTGACCCCGAATCATTCACAGGAGGGTTGGAATGTCTTTGCTGCTCTAAGAACACAGAGAAGCAGACTACATTTTAGAATCATCAGTAGGTGTAATAGTTTTACTCAGTACTGAGCTTTGTCTAGTTTTAATATATTCCCATATTTTTGTTTCTTTTTTAAAGAAATTAAATACTGTAAATATATTTGGAGACCTCTTCTGTATCTTTTCTTCCTGTAGTTTGTTCCATGTTAAAAAATTGATAATCATCATTTCCATGCATGTTTTTTACTTACCTGCACTGGAGATAACATACAGAGATATGTGTACACATACAGGGTAAACAGGAGTTAGCTTTGAAGTTTTTATATAAATGGCATCAAACTGTACTTATTTTTTTGTCACATAATTTATACTTTTATTTTGGGGTTTAAGCTATATTGACAACCCTTGTTATTTATTTTAACTATTTTGTATTCTGTTGACAAAAAATAACCACAGTATATTTATTCACCTGTGGATGGACTTTTATGTTTTTCTACTTTTTTTTAATACTACATATGATGCTACATATCTCATGTAGGTTTAGAAACAATTCTCTAGGATATATTCCCAAGGTAGGCCTAGCAAGTCATAAGGATTCATATAACTTCAGTTTTGTTATATCTTGCCAAATTATGCTGCAAAGTACTTATACTGATTTCCCCTCTCACTAAGGGGCCTGGGAGTTCCTGTAGCTCCATATACTCATCATTACTAGTTCTAGCAGTTCTTTATTTCTAATTTGTGCTCATTTCCTGAATACAAAATTACATCTCTTGGTTTTAATTTACATATTCCTCATTTGTAACATAGTTTATGTTACAAAGTTTATCCCTCCTTTGTGCATAGTTTATGGTTATGGCTCATTTGGGTAGCTCTTCTATGATTTGCCTTATATTTTCTATTAGTTCTTCATCTTATGATTATTAATGTCTAGTACGTAGGCATTTCTTCTGTACTCTGCACACTAACCCCTTTTTCACATATTCTGAAAATGAATCCTTTGATCCTTCAAATACTTTCTCTCAGTTTGTGGTTAGTCTTTGTAGTGTTTTATTGTACATAAAATTTTAACTTAAATAGAATAAAATACATCTGTCTTTTGTAGCTTTTGCATCTTTAAGACATTCTTCCTTGCTGTGAGAGTCATAGATACTTATGAAGATTTTACTTTAGGGTATGGTAAAAGGTTAGGACCTACTCTTTCTCCTATAGATACCTAATTATATCAATATTACTTACTGAATGTTTTAGCTTTTCCTCAGCAACTGCTGTCACATTTGTCAGGACCCACATGTGCTTGAGTCTTTGTCTGAGGCTTTTAGTCTGTTGGTCTGTTTGTGCATGTAGCAGTACTGTCTTCATTTTGATATCTATGACTATGAGCCTTCCTATCAACATTGTTGGCATTCTTCAGGAGTGTCTTGGCCATTTTTAGCCTTAGATAAATTTTACATGGAATTAATTTTTTTAGTTATATATATATAATATATATGAAAATTAAGGTTCTTTCTTTAACAATCTTGCTAGCATTTTGATTAAAATTACATTGTGTTTATTTAATTTACAAATACCTAATTAACTACAAAATAAAAATGTTTGGGTCTTTAAAGGTTAATTTCCTAGTTTTTTTATAAAAATCATATATCAAGATTTTATGATTTTATAAAAATCATATGTCAAGAATGGCCAGTCCTCCAATGGTTCTTAAATATTCAGTTTTGTTATATTTAAATAAAGAAAAGCACACCATTAAAAATGTTCATTTTTATATTGGAATATTCAGTAAATTAAATATTTAAGCATCTTTAGTTCTTCATTATACTTGCTAATTTCTTCATTAAATATTTATTGATTAGTTGTTTTATGAAGGACATTCTGCTATAGAACATAACAGTGATTTGAAAGTCCCCAAGAGTTAGTGGTAGGGAAGTTTTCTTGCCTGAGTTTTTGAGTGCATTGTACATAATACAATACATGCTTCCAAGATGTTGATGATGTTGGTGGAAATCATATTTCCCATGTTGGCTACATGTCATGTGTCAGATATCCTGTGCTTTTATCATTTGTCTCAAAAAATCTAGCATCAGAGGTAATGAAATGTTGGCTGTATTCTACTTCATCAATCCATACTAAAATTCCTTTTTTGTCCTACTATAGAGACTTGTAGCCACTACAGGAAGCAAACAGCGCAGTCGCCTTTCAGTTATGGCCCAGTACCTCTGCAACGTTAAACACATCTTTACCATTCCAGGTCAAGCTTTTGTTCCCAAACCAGAGGTAAATTTCTGTTTGTTTTATTGTATCAGAATTTGAATTTCGGTTATAATCTTTGTTCCTCAGAGGATGTGTCATAGGAAATACTCTCTAGGATCTGATATTTATATGCAAACTGCACCATCACTTTTTTTTTTTTAACTTCTCTTGAGTAGGAGCCACACATTTTTGTGAGTTTGTCTCACTGTTAGAGTGATCAGATGTCTAGGTTTAGGTAGTGGTTTAATCATCATTATCTTTACCATCATCATCATCCCCTGCTGTTCTTACAAGTATTTCAATATGACAGATAAATGACATGGTCACTCAGTCCCTGAGAACAGAAATCAAATATTTTTTGTGGTTACTGATAGAGAATTCTAACTAAAGTTGTATCAATATTTTTTATTTTTTTTGCTGTTTTGAGGCAGGGTCTTCCTTTGTAGTTCAGGCTGGCCCTGAACTCACTACGTAGCCCAGGCTGGCCTTGAACTCAGAGTAATCCTCCTGGCTCAGCCTCCCGGGTGCTGGGATTACAGGCATGCATCACCATGCCCAGCATATCAAATATTATTTATTAAGAAGTTTTTTATACATCTTTGGCAGTGTTGTAATAAATGCTGCTTACATGAGTGAGTTTTAGTTGTAAAAACAAAGTTTCTGTATGCCAAATAAAAGAAGCTGGTGTCTATTTTAGCAAAAGCATTGCTTGATGATTAATTACAGGACATGTACTATAAAAAGTCATGTATTTCTTCACTGGATTGAGTGCTTCTTGAAAACTGCTGGACTGGATATGCAACATGGAGGGAGGCACTTCATCAGATACTGAATCTGCCTTCAGGCAGTTCAGAACCTGATGAAGAATAGAAATCTTTCATTGGTACCTAAAACTCCCAAATACAAGTTTCCTTAACATAATTTTCCCCTCATAAATAACATGAAAAAACTGTAGTATGTGACTGTATCTAATGGGTTTAGAATGAGGCCTCCCATTAGTAATGTTGTCTGTTGTGTGTCTTGAAGCATCTCAAAGATCTTTACCTTCTTTGCTACCATCTTCACACTTCCTCTGCCATTTTGTCCTCCACTGTTAGCTGAGCTTTCAGGAGACTGAAAGGATTTCAGGGATTCATTCATCTTCCACTTCTTTAACAGACTTGTCAGCTTTTCTAAAATAGCCTCAGGAAACTCACTACCTCTGTTCATTATCAAGGTTTTAAAGATATTATAAATGACTTCTCCCAAAATAATTAGATTGTAGACATAATTTGATGAGTGCTATATTACAGGTCATCATCAATCTTAACACATTTTTGCTTTCAAGAACTTTCTCTCCTGTAACAGCTGGCCATTGTAATGAGAAAAAAAAAAAAAGGTGGCCATACAGTTTGCTTTCTTCTCGTCATGCATACATGCCTTTTGAATAGTACTGGACCTATGACACCAGAAACCAAGATCTTGACTTACAGCTTTTTGTTGTTGCTATACTCTAGAATCTTTAGTCTATCCAAATTTTACCAAGGATTTCTTAGGATAGGTGTTAAAATATTAAGCAAAAAGTTTGTCTTGGTTTTTTTTTTTTGCTACTGGCGATCGAATTTGGGTCCTTGGGCTTGTGCAGCAGGCAGCGAAACCACTGAGCTAAATCCCCAGCCCCTCTTGGTTTTAATTATGTAGTTGAAAGTATTTTATCACGTTTAGACATTATTATCATCTTTATCTTTGATTTAGGTTATGGTACCTTTGTAATTAATTTTCTCTTCTGAGATTAAGGCTCAAGAAAACATTGTTTTAGAAAACTAGCTATTTGTTTAATTCTCTTTAATTAAGGATATTTTCCTATTTTGGCAAATTAAACATATCCATAGCAATTTTCTTCTTAAGCTTTCATTATGTTGTAAATGGTACATGTGGGAGATTTATTTGTAATCTAAGAAAGCAGTTATCAAGAAAGAGAATGTATTATGTTTAAAAAAACAAATCAGATGATTACATTTTAGTTCTTAAAGAATTTTCCTTTGCTCTGAACTAGTTTTACTATATTAGAAAAAATTAGAAATACTCTAACACTTGAAAATATTTGACTGATGGTTACATTGAACAAATTTTAAAAATTCATTTCCTCAGATTAAAAAAAAGGGAAAAGTTCTTACCAAAATGAGTTGTAGGATACTTAATATTAGCCAGTAGTCCCTTTGGCTAAACCTTCTGAGTGCAAGAAGAGAAAGTGCTAGACACAACCTCACACAAAATAAGGTAGGCTAGGTACTAAAATATAGGTGCAGGCACATTCTTGGGGGAATTAAGAGAGGGAATTAATGTTCAGTAGAAATTTATTAGTATTTGTTACTTATTTTCAATCAGAGCTCTTAGAATTAGATGTGAGGAATTTCTTTTGTGGTATGACATGCTTATTGATACCCACATTAGGATATTTTTCTGTAAGAATCTGCTATCCCTTCTGTGTATGGGTCTTTCAATTAGCCAACTCAATCAAGCATTAATGACAGAACTTTTACTGACATGAAACTCTTACTGCCCTTTTCTAACTGATTCATTCTTGATTCTTGCCAGAGTTTATTCTGATGAACTTCTCTACTTTATCCCTAAAATTTGAACCTCAAATATTTATCTATCTACAGAAAGGCATCTTAGGTTCTTAGAATTACACTAATTTGCTTAGGTGCTTCTTAAACTACTAGAATATGTAGGTTGTATATCCTAAGTTAGAATTTTTTGTTTTTTTGTGTTTTTATTGTTATTTTACCAATTACAAGGAATTTCTTTTAGAATATAAATTCACACTTTAAAATGTTTTTGTGACAATCAAACTTGTTTCTTAAATTTCTCAAGCTACTTTTTGAGAATCCACATTCCTTGAGGATCCACCTGTTTCTGGGATTCTGCACAGATTTTCTTTCGGCTAGTCTGCACATTACCCAAACTTGATAAATACTGAGCTGTTAGCTAGTCCTCAATATTTGTTGTAACCCTTTGGTTTTACTTCATAATTTGACATCAGTCCCACAGGTCTCACCACTCTTTTGTACTCTAGGCCAGTGGAAAAATCACTTAGATATGAGAATGGTCACAGGCTCTTTTTGATTTACACTGGTAGAGGCAGTGGACTTCACAGTCAGCTAGACCTACTGGAATTCCAGCACTCCTGGATAGGAGAACCTAATCAGTAGGCTGACTTTAGCATATCCAAACAGGGCCAGTAATAGCAGCTTGGAAGGACTGTTGAGGAATAGCAGTAAGTGCCAAATGCCCACTGTGAGTATCAGGCACATAGAGGCAGTCAGTGAAAGGTAGCTGTGATGGTAGGATTATAAAGAAATAGTGTAGATTATAATCTTCAAGACATATATACTGTATATGATTTACCTGTTTAGATGTATGGTATACTCTGTAGAACAAGTTACCCACCAAATGGTACAGATTTAAAGTAAATCAATAAAATTTTAGATGAATTGATGATATACTTGTGACATATAATGAAAAGGTTGGGATATGGGGCATCTACACCTGACCTTTGAGGACAACTTTTAGAGCATTCTACATGCACTTGGCCATAGCTGTTGAGGCCTTGAACTCTCTGAAAAATGGTCTTGAATTCAGTGGGTGTATGTATCCCCATCAGAGATAGCCCTTTTTTTTTTTTTTTTTGCCTTTGTGGTTTTTGAAATCAGATATTAAGCCTGTTCATGCTGTTGCATATTACTCTCTATTTGAGAATGATTTGGACATGAGGACAGACTAATATTTTCCTGTTGAAGTATGATTCTTCTATGTTTAGAAGCATTTCCTAGAATCAGAGATTGAGATAGGATTTTGTAATAATGGTGTATTGAGAAGAGCTCTCTGTAGAAAGGAGAGAAAGGAGGGGAAAAGCTAAGCAATAATATTCCTCCTGCAGACCCATCACCTAGGTCCCACAGTGGGAAAGGGTCACTGTGGAGCACAAATTGGCCCACAGAGTTGACCTTTCCCTGCGGGCTCCATGCCAGCTGGGCCTGGGCTGCTGGCTACTACTGGGAGCAGTGGTGCAGCCTCTCTGCAGAGGTGACTTCAGATCTGTGATTTCCAATGTCACAGTAGCTGGGGGATGATACCAGCCCCGTAGATGAAGTTTGGGTAAGGCATCAAGTCTAGGTTCCTACCTAAGACAGAGCAGTAAGAAACTTTCATGGCCTTCTCTGCCTTGGTTACTTGGAATTTCTAAATGAAGTTTCACATTTAATTGCTTTAGCATCCTTCAGCCAGGATCATTTAAAGCATTTTTCTCTCTTGCTTTGAAACTGTAGTCTTTATTAGTAGTTATTATACTTATACTTACAATTTTGTTTTTAGTGGTCTCAAATTCTTTTTGGAAGCAGTTAAGTCCAAAATAAAAATAAAAACCAGTTTTATAGAAAAGCAGCAGACTCATCCTTAAAAATCAGATAAGCATTGAGTAGAAACAGAATTTACCATTACAGTTCTGATGTAGTACTAGTTAGGATTTCATCATTGCTCAAGAATATACTAAACAGGGCCAGGGATTTAGCTCAGTGGTTCTGGCACCTGCCTCACAAGTGCAAGGTCCCAAGTTCGATCCCTGGTACCAAAAAAAAAA